TTTGATTGTTTTTTAAATGGCTGCAAATTCTTTGACTCTCCTTACAACAAGAGATCAGGTCTATGTTCCCTGCCCTTGAATCTGGGCATGTTGTGAGATGATGGTAACTATCAGAAAGGCAAAAACAACACTGTATAACGTCTAAGTTCTGCACTGTTCACTAGAACTCACACTTGTAGCCCGGAGACACCATGGAAGTAGTCTGGCTACTCTGTGGCTACTTTGCTCCAGGTCACATTGAGAAGCCACCGAAGCACTCCAGCTAGCATTTCTAGCCTTCATGTTTTTTCCAGACTAGGCACCAGGCATATCAGAAATGAGCTTTCAAATGATTCCAATCCCCAGCTGTCATGTTAACCTCAGTGTTCAAGTCTTCCAGCTGAAGTCCTGACATTGTGGAGCAGAGACAAGCTGCTCACTGCTATTTGAATTCCTGTTGTATCAGTCATGTTTTTCATTCTCTGTATTTTATGATGTTTTGACATCTTAGGGCCTTGAAGATCCAGAGAGGGACTGCCCCTCCTAGAGATAGTAAATAACTTGCTGGTGAGCACATTTTTGACATGCAAACCAACAAATCCTGAGCCCACACTCTGAAATGCACTCCAGTGGTTTTTACCCTCCAGGAGGCAATAGTCCTCCGCCTTAATCATCCCAGGGCCAGGTACCAGACAACTAGAATCTCTGTGTCCCAGTCTGCTGGAATTATTCAAACTGGCCAATCCTAAACCTGCCTAGCCTGCTTACTTTGCCTGGCCTGTTCCTTCTCACAAAAACTACAAGAAACACTCATGCCTGTGCTGTCTCTTGCTTCTGCCTCCGGACTGACCCTGGTGCTTCCCCATTGCAGCCCTGCACAGTCTGTCATGGCTCCTCCTCTTGGGAACTGTGAGTAACAAATTATCTTTTCAATAGTGGTTATCTCCTGATCTGTTGGCCTCACTGTTCCTGAATAAAACCAAAACCCCAAGTACATTTAAAATCCTGACCCACAGAATTTGTGAGCATAATGAAATGGTTGTTTTATGCTGCTAAGTTTTGGGCTAGATTGTTATGTAGCAGTTATAACTGGAACACATATGATATCCTGCCAGTTTCTTAACCTCAGCTTCTTCATTGGTATAATGAGATTCATAGCAATGGCACTATCTCAGGGGACTAAGGCTGGATTAAATGAGATGCAAAATGCTTAGAGCTCAATGTGTATTAGCTTATTATCAATATTGTTTTCTAAAAGAGCTTTGGCACCCGGCTCACTGGTTCTCACTGCATCCTTGGCTTGCAAGACAAAAACCTGCTCTCACTTGAGGTTCTTCCTTTTTCACCATCCTACGAGTCTTGCCATTCTCATCGTATCAGTCAGAATCCAATCAGACGACAGAAACCACATAGGAATTCGCACAGAGAAACTTCAATATAAAAATTATTGGGCCGGCCGAGTTGCTCAGCTGGTTAAGAGCTTGCTTGGGAGCACCAGCTCTGAGCAGCAGGGCTGTGGTTCGGATCCCACATTGAGGGCCAGTGACGCTTGCCCTCTACAGCTAAGATGATGAACAACAGCTCAACCTGGAGCTGGGCTGCCGTGAGTCATGGCGTAGGCTGCAGCGGGGCTGCAGCGGGGCTGCAGTGGGCTGCCGCGAGCTACGTGAGTGGCTGGCAGCCAGCGTGAGCGGCCAGCAGCCGGTGCGAGCTGCTGGGAGTCGCTGTGAGCGGCTCACCAATGACCGGCGACCGATTGCCTCACCCTGGAAGAGCGCAATGATCATACCAACATGGGCCAGTGAAGCGACTTCCTCCACAACTAGACTGAAGAACAAAAACAGCAATTTGTCTACCTGTCTGTTCCCCTTCCCCAATTCCCCAATACTATTCCCCTCCCCCCAATTCCCCAATAAAATCTTAAAAAAAAATTATTTACTATAACAGGGGTTAGAGTGCTGAGAGTTTGGGTAATAAGAAGTTAAAGAGAACTCTAAAGAATACAGGAAAAGAAGATATAAGGGGCAGCCACTATCCCTAGGGCTGAGAAAGACCCCCAAGAAGAGCTTTCTTCTCTCCCCGCCCCTGCCCTCTAGGGTCAGGATTCAGACCTCGTTAGAGGATGTGGCTGTGGCTCACCAGATGGCAAAGAAGTCACTCAGGTGCTGTGCTGGTAGAACTTGCTGGAAATCAGCCATCTGGGTGCTGGGGGCAACTGTTTTCAGAGAGCTACTGCACGCACCTCAAAGCTTATTGCAAAGCCACCCAGGAAGGTGCCAAGGGAAGCTGCTGGCTGCCATGTGCTGTAGGACTCAGGTGCTCGAGAAGCCACCTGTACTGCAGGAGCCTGGCGCCTGGGAAGCCACATGTGCTCTGGGAGTGGGCACTGGAGATGCTTCCCAAAATAAAGGAGTCTGGTGACACAACCAGAACCAAAGGGAGCCACTCCTACCTCCTATAGTGTCTTACTAGCTCCATCTACTGACAAAGCTGAGCATTGCGCCAGCTGGAAAAGAAATCTACAAAACGGCACCTCATCCAGTATCAAAGAGATCACTGGCACAGTCCACCCCTTAGGAGACTCAGTTTCCATATGCAACCTTCTATATACACTTGGACTGCCATACAACAAGAAAACAAGTCCACATTTCCACCTAATGAGATACAGCTATCATTTTTAGAAGTGAAGTTCTCACCCTCTCCAAAAGGAGGAGATACACAGCCCCAACAATCTATACTAAATACTTCTCAGATTGTGTCCTAGTCCCAAGGAATATACTGTTACCTTAAAGGCTGAATTGTAACATTAACTTCCAACAACTTACATATACAACAAAAATAGGAAGAGAGAGAGAGGGGGAAAAAAAAGGTCAGTATGTACAAAAAATGCCATAGAAACATGACAAACAGAGAGAAAATATGCAAAACTACTACAGTTCTTGTTTTTGTAATTGGCCACAAAGCTGTTTTAGTAGTCACTAATGGTTTTCTAACTGCCTCATCACTTCCACAATTCATTAGTTGGCATTCTACTATAAGGAAGGCCTTTCTCGTCTCCTCTGTTGACTTATTTATTCATTTGTATTATTATGGACTTACGTGTTATTTTACTAATTGGGTTATAATCTGTTACTGTTATATTTTATTTTGATGCTCTGCAGTTAGCTAGCTAATGGGAACCCTTATAAATGGATTCCTAGTCCTTCTGACACGTCTGAATTTTTCTTTGAGTACCTCCTTGTTGTCTGGCACAAGATGTTCTAGGATCATCTTGAACTTTCTCAGCCCCAGTGGTAGAATCAATAATTTCTCCAAGGAGCCATGGATCCTTTTATGAAGAATGGTATTGAGAAGTCAACATCTGGGTGTCACATGCGCTTATTTCCATTGGAGTGTTATTACTGTTAGGCTCTCTCAGCAGAAACGGCTGGGGAATGTGTGTTTGTGTGTGTTCATGTGTATACATACACATGTATACATGTACACATACACATATATAACATATGCATACATTTATGGCTAGATTTATTTCTATATCCAGTTATCCATATATTAAAAACCATGACTTCATAATTGCTATGGACTGAATTGTGTCTTCCCAAAATTCATATGTTGAAGCTGTAACCTCTAATGTGTATGTTTTTGGAGTAAGGAAGTAATTAAGGTAAATGAGAGTGTCCATAAGAGCGGAGCCTTGATTCCATAGGAATCATGTCCTTATAAGAAGAAACACAGAGAGCTTGCTCTTTCTCTCTCCACTATGTGAGGACACAGCTGTCTGCAAGCCAGGAAGACAGCTCTCACCAGAAACCAAATCGGCTGACACCTTTTTCTTGGACTTTCCAGCCTCCAGAGCTGTGAGAAAGTAGACTGCTGTTGTTAAGCCACCCACTGTGGCATTTTGTTATGGAAGCCTGAGGAGACTAATATAATAACGGCCTTTAATTCTAATCTACATGAATGGTATTTTTGTTTGTTTGTTTTAGTGTTTCTATAATGTACCATTTGCCTATAGGACCTTGCTATTTTTGGCCTGTTCTGGTTCTAAGTTCAGAGAAGAGGGCTGTAGTAAGTTGTCTTATGTAATGTCCTAAGCAGAAGGGCACATTTGTTTAAAAGTTTAGAATGACCAGGATCACTTATCAAGAAAAACAGAGCTGACTCAAAAGTCAAACTGTTGGGTGGCCGGTTGGCTCAGTTGGTTAGAGTACGATGCTCGAAACACCAAGGTTGCTGGTTCGATTCCCACATGGAGCAGTAAACTGTGCCCTCCACAACTAGATTGAAGACAAAGACTTGACTTGGAGCTGATGGGTCCTGGAAAAACACACTGTTCCCCAATAAAATTTTTTTTAAAAAGTCATACAGTTTGTTGTTTGTCAGTAAAGTGTGAAAGTCTCAGCCCCACTGGGGGACCATTTGTAACTTAACTGCAGGATAGAAAGGGAAAGAGTGGAAACCTGGCTTAGCGCCTGTATATTAAGTGCTGTGCCTCTAGCACCTCATTTCATTCTCACAGTAACAGAGAGGTGAATGTCATTATTCCCATTTTATAGATGAGAAAATACAGAGACAGAGAGGTTAAGTCATTTGCCTAAGGTTGAATAGCTAGAACCCCTTTCCTAGACTTGACTCCTCTAAAAACCAGCACCTAGCTGAGCCATATTGGAGCCTGGGACAAAAGGAAAAATGTGTACCCCTATATACACTTATCAAGATATCCTTTATATTTTGAACTAAAAAGAGAATAAAATCTCTAAAATCAAAAATCATAACCATATATAAAGCCTTGTGCTACCCAATCTGTTCCCATACTATTGTCAATCCTCATAAAGCCAATTGGCAGGGGACGCAATGGTGACCTGCCTGGGAACCGTGGGCTGACTGGAAATGACTATTCCTATTGCAAAATTATACAGGGTCATAAAACAAACAGCCTCTTTATTTTAAATGTTGATGTGTTGTTCACTGTGGATGTTTTGCATTAATTTTGATTTTTAAAAATACTGCATTAAAATTTATCTTGATCACTGAGTTTTTTGGTGCCCCACCCTTAAATATTGCACCCAAGTTGTGTTTTTCACTCGCCTCACCGTAACCTGATTTCTGGTAAAACCAAGTCTTCGCCTGAATTACTTCAGGGCTCCATTCCCCAGAGTTGACCTTCTCTAGACAGGGCCCTGTTCGGGGAGGGGGTGTGGATCCCAGACTCCCCACTCCTGCATGGCTCACACAACTGTGGAACTGACCCATTTTCTCATCAGAAATATTGAATCATAAAGCTATAACAACAGAGATGGTTCCATTGTGTGGTAAGCACATGGTCACATGCCTACAAACATGTTTGGAGACATCAGATATTCTCCACCCAGACTTAATTACATATGACCCAGAAGCTACAAGTTCCCGATTCCTACCCTGGTATGCTCATCTGAACTCATGGCATCAGAATCCCTAGGCTCTCCAAGCACTGACATGCCAAGAGTTTGGCCTTCCTGTTGCTAAGAATGGGGTCAAGGGAGTTTCTAGTTCAGAAGCCCAGCCTCCAGGTTTAGGAGTCTGCCCGGTACCGTCCTTAGCGGAGCAGTTGACTGAAAGGCTTCGCAAGCAATACTTTCTATTGGAGATGAACATTGCTGATTTTTGTTCTTTTCAATATTTTCCCCAGGGCTTCAGGAAAAGCAAAAAGGACCCGCCATTCAAATCCTTTTAACTACAACTAAGCACTTGCTGATGTTGTTTTTGTGCAGGACAGAGAGGAACTGGAGACCAAGGGATGAAGAAGAACAGCTCCCTAACATCCCTTCCACCTTGCTAAAGGGGTCCACAAAGCCTGGCGTGCTGGCTCTTACCCTTTCCCCCTTGGAACTTTTACAGGAGAGAAATCAAGTTACTGCAGTTAGTTCCGTAGTGAAAAAGAAGTCAGGGAAACCTCGCTGCCTATTCCTGGGCACCCTTTCCAACCATTTGTGAACCAGTGCACAAAAAAAACCCCTCTTCTTCCAAGGAAGTAAACAAGCGTTTATCAATATCAAGACCCGTACTGGACACCCTGCATCCACTCCTAACCCCTCCAATCCAAGTTCCAAGCTCCAACCAAAGTGGCCTTCTGAAAACACAAAGTTGTCATGAGGATGAGATGAGCTAGTATTTGTAAAGTACTGACTGGCATTACTGGCACATAGTAGGTGCTACACCATGTTTAGTAAATAAATGCATATAATGCTGTTCCTCTCTGAGGATCTACAGAAGTAATGGCAACTTCTCCGCTGCCAGCCTCTCCCTTCTGCTTCCCCACTGCTCTCTCCCTTGCTAGACTTACTCCAGGCTTCATTTCAAGTCCTCCTGAGTCAAGCTACCTCGCGGCCTTAGCACATGCCCGTCTCTCGTCCTTAAACACTCTTCGCAGGCCCTCTCATGTGAAAACTTCAGCTCCTTCATATCTCATGAATGTTACTTCTGCCTGCCCGGACCTCCCCGAGGGAGCTTAGGTTCCTCTATTTTACTCTCTTACAGCCATGTTTATCACAATTGTAACCACAACTAAATGTTTTAGGCTTTTTAATGTCTGCTTCCCTTACTAGGCTGTAAATTTCCCCAGGGGAAAGGACTTACAGGTGTCTCCTGTTAACTTCCTGTCAAGAAGCTCCGACAAGGTGAGTCCCTAACGGACCATTGTAGAATGAATGAAGAAAACCTCTTTTATACTGTCTTATTTAGGTAACAGGCCCAAGGCTGCACCCCTGATTCAAGATTTGAACTCACAACATGCTGGTCTTGAAGCCCAAGGTCCGACTACCACACTGACTGTCCCCTCCTCTCCCTCAAAGCTGGAGCCAGAACATACGTGGTCTGGGAGATGAGTTTAAGGAGCTGCAGGTCTATTTGATGAGGGACACACGCTGCAAAGAACTCAGCGCCGTGCGCCCTGGCCTCCGGCCCAGGGGAAGGTGCAATCATCACGTGTACGCTGCAGGGCCAGCAGGCGCCGCACCCCAGGGCAGGAATGCGGCCCCGCCCCGCTCCTTTGCCAGCAAAACCGCGCTCTCCCGGGGACTGACGTCAATGAAGGGGCTCCTCCCGGCCAGACGCGAGGGTGGAGGGGGAGAAGGGAAGGAACCCGGGCGGACACTCCCCTCGCTGCTGCCCCGCCGCTGATTGGGCCGGGGAATCTTCGCACTCGGGTTTCGAGGCCTGCGGAGGGAAGGAGGCGGGGCCAGAACACGCCCCTCGCTCCTCTGCGGTCGCTGATTGGCCTACGGAGTCTCCGCGTTCGCTTTTGGAAGGTTTTCTCTGGAGCTCACGCTAAGGATCGGCTGAGGATTGGCTGTTCCTGGGCTGTGGAGCGCTTTCTCTGGGGAACCACGGTTGTGACCGAGGTGGCCCGCCTCGGGCAGCCAGGTACGCAGGTCCGTGACCCGGCCCGCGCTGCGTTGGGAGCGGGCGGGAGGACGAGCCGTCAGAGCCCGGATGCCGCCGGGACCCTAAACCCTAGATCCATCTAGGGCCGGTTGTGAGAAGCGCCACGTCTGAGCCCCGGGGGCTGACCTGTGCTGGGGATGTTGCCGTGTGACCTCGGCCAGGATTCCCGTCCCAAGCTGTCGTCCTGTGGGTGAACGCCGGCTGGTTCTTGTGAGCACCTTCGCGGCAGAAACCCAGAGCTGCGCCGGCCCTTTCGAAAGGCCAGGCAGGGGTTGGAGTGGGCGCATCTTTGCTTGCCCCATCCCGATTTGAGGTCTGTCGGCGCTGCCCGTCAGTGTGGTGAGTAATCTCGAACTCCTCTCGGGGCCGCGGAGTGCGGAGGGCACAGACGCTGGCTTGCCATCCTCGCGCCTTCTAAAGCGAGCAGAAGCAGGTAGCAGGCTCCGCGAGGCTTCACAGCCTCCTGGGTCTTTTTCTCTGAAGACCTCGGCAGCCATCTGGCGGGAACAAAAATAACAGTGGTTGAGAGTATGGGTGCTGAGGTCAGACTACCTGGGTTCATATCCCAGCCTTATCACCTACTATCTGTGTGACTTTGGGCAAGTTACTTAACCTTCCTGGGCTTGGCTTTTTCATCTGTAAAATGGGGGTGGCGGTAGTGCCTTCTCATAGGCGTGTCGTGAGAGTTCAGGAGATCACCTGTCTGAAAGTGCTATTCGGCATTTGACTTAGAGCAAGGTGCCTCAATGGCAGCTATCATTTAAGAGTCCACAAATGACTCCTTTTCCCTTTACTCGCTTCTCCCAAGAGTGAAGGCCCCTTTTGAGGGAGTTTCATGATAGTGGTGAAGATGAAAATGACAATGATTCTATCTATTTAACCAGGGGGTGGTTCAACAGCCTTTCCCGTACTTCATTCACTCATGAAATAATGTACTGAGATGGATGCTTACGCATACTCTTATCTCCCTTACCCCCTACGGGTTATTTATTTTCACCATTTTGATGATGAGCAAACTGAGGCAGGGGAAAGCTGGGGCTTGCCAAGGTCACCCCATTATCAGTGACACAAACACAGCCAGAATTCAGGGCTCTTTAAACCTTAAAAAGAGTTATTTCTAGACCTAGTAGGAATTTTTTCCAGGTTATATCTGAGAATTGGTCTGGGGGAAGGGTGTGGGGGAAGGGCCCACCCAGTTCCTTTCTCCACCTTCCAGGACACGGATTTGGAGGCCAACGTTTGTCCAGTCCTCTCAGGCACGCCTGGCTGAGGCTAGGCCCTTCCGGGTGGGGGGCCCACACAGAGGTTTGGACTGGGCCTCCCACTTGAGGATCCACAGATTTTGGCTGCTGTCCAGTGGCATGTCTGTGCAGGGAAGCAGGCCAGGGCCACAAGTGTTGATTTGGGCTGTGGGCCAGAGCCTGCAGTTCCTTTTCTAAGAGGCCCTTGGTCTCTGATTACAGATTATTACCACCACCATGGTTATCCGAAGGAGGGGAGCTGAGGAGCCAGTTGCCGCCTACCTCACACAAGTGTATTCTGCCTCTCTTGGTTACTTGCACCTCCGAGACCATGGTGGACATGTGTGTCCGAACTGAGCTTCATACATTACAAAGAATGCTCAGTTGTGCACAATATTAATATATTGCAAATGCATTGCATGGTGAGTCACTTTTTAAAATATATATCTTTTTTCGAGCCCCACAGTTCATTTATTGCCTGTTTCAAAACAAGTTGAACTTTGTCACTTTCAACATTTGGTATTTACTTTGGGGATTCATTTTTAACCTAGTTTGTGTCAAATTGAAGTATTTTGCAATTAGTCTTTAGTCATCTGCTCACAGACCCATGCTTATCTTTTATGTCAGCTCTGAAATGAAAGATTCATTTGTAATCTTTTAATAGCACTGTGGTTTCATTTTCCAGTTTAAAAAGTACCATTGTTCAAGTATACACTGACTTTCCTGGATTCAGGTTTTCTCCAGGAAACGAGAGGGAAAGTAACTATTGAACACACTGAATGAGACAGGAAAAGTCTTCTAAGTGTTCTGATTCAGTTTACCTAAAGTTTACAATCTAATCCTACCTGATACGCACTGATTTTTATTCCTAGCCTCACTCTGCTGTCTGACTCTCAGGATGGGAGGCCGAGTGTAGACTGAGGGGCCTCAAAATCTGGAGGTGCCAACCCCTCCCCTCCTTCGCCTCCCCGCCAAGTTCATGGAGGGTATGGGTGAGACTGGAGTTCCAGATGATTTCTCCCAGATGATTTCTCATTAGTGCATTTGTAACGTACCTGTCACCCCGAGGCTGGAGGTAGGGCCTTGCAGGGCCTTGCAGCCGTGGCAGAGGTGGATGTCAGGCTCCAAGCCATTTCCTCCCTGAGGCAGCTGCTGCTATTTGATCCTGTTGCCATTCTCTCTGAGGGGAGGGTGAGATTGCCTGAGTCTGAGAGAAGTGACGTGACACCTTCTCTCACCACCCAGACACTCCTAGGCCGTAACCAGCATAGGTCACTAGAGTGCTTTAGAGCAGTGAGTTTTCTGTCTATTAGACCCTAACCCCACAGCCCACAGCAGCAGAACAGTGTATGGCCTCCATGGAAGACTGAGAAGAGGAGCTACTAGTTGGGGAGTTTTCTGGCATCTAATTAGCCAGACCTGTCCACACAAGTTGCTCCTAGGCCCTGGCAGACAAGCAAACCCACCTCTGCTTCCGTACAGACCTAACTTCATAATGGAATCATTGATTCTCAACATTGACACATGCCCTCAGAGACTGTCGCATCAATCTGTTCTTCTTGCAGATATGAGGGAAGCAGGCATGTGAAGTGCCTGAGGCCACTCAGCCACTGAGTGGCAGAACTGGGGCTCGAACCCCATCCTCTGATTCATAAGCCACTGCTCTGTGCCCTGGACTGGGTTGCAGTTCCAGTTTTCTTTTGTGGAAGCGGGGAGATCTTCCTCTTCAGAGTGCCATGGGTTCAAGGCTGGGGCAGCCGGTCACCTAGTGAACAGCCCTGACGTCAAAGAAAAGCTTAAAATAAATGCCACATCCCATCCCTGCCAACCAGCAACTGGCTTAAAAGGGGGAAAAAGAACATGTAAAAATGCTCATTATAAAAATGCCAACGTAACAGAATCATGTAAATAAAAGCATTACTGGTTTCCTATCCCTGCCTCAAGGGTGGTCTAGTCAGTGTTCCTCCTTTCCACTGGCGTGTTTCCCTCTATGTGAATTAGGTAGGAATACGAATAATGAAGCACTTCTCACAGAAATGACGGGAAGAAATGTGCTTTGAGTTGGTTCTGGCCTTGGTTGAGACACTGGTGCTTATATGTCTCTCTCAGCTTCCCTTTGTTCTGCTGTGAACTCGGGTGACGATAACAGTGCCTGGTCCCTAGAATTGTTTTGAGAATGAAATGGTATCATGCATATTGCCTGATTAACAGAATAATTGCCCCATAGTTAGCTTTGATTTCTCTGTCAGCCTAAAAGTGTTACTTGGTGACTGTTTTTTGGTCACAGTATATTTATATCATCCAGTTCTGGGGGGTTAATTACTACACATATTAGGTTTTAACTGGATTCCCATAATAGTGCCTAAGGAGAAGAGGTTTTAAAATTCCCGTTTTCCAGATAAAAAGCACAATTTTTATGCAGTTAATTTATCTGAAAGTCTTCTGCAGGTTTAATTATTAAATCTTTTGAAAAGAGAGTGGGGTTCTTCTGATAGGCCTAGAAAGTGGGGCAGGGGAGTGTGGAAATTACTGGAATTAGGAGGGAAGGCCAGGGCAAGGGAAGGACAGTCACATTTGGGGAGTCTGAACAGGATGAAGAGAGGGCTTACTCGCCAGAGAACAAAACAAAGGTGAGAGAGGAAGGGTTACTTCTGCAAGTGGGCTGAGGATAGGAAACCGGTAATGCTTTAATTTACATGATTCTGTTACATTGGCATTTTTATAATGAGCATGTACATTTTTCTTTTTCCCCTTTTTAAGCTGGTTGCTGGTTGGCAGATCTCTCTGTAGCTCGCTGTGGAATGAGGTCTGACTTAGCAACCAGGTCTTCCCCGCCAGGTCAGGACTGTGAGGAGCAAGGCCAGGCCCTCAGCTGGCTCAGGCCAGACTGCTTGGAGGAAAGGAGGGTCCACTTCACACCCAAGTGCAAATGTCAAGGCGGCCAAAAAGAGGGGCATTTGCATTTATTTAGCACTTACTGGGTACCTGGCACCATACCAGACTCATTTAATCCTTACAACAATCCTGAGAAGTGCTCATTAGCTCCATTTGACAGTTAAGCAGACTGGCCCAGGGAGGTTGACCAACTTGCCTCATGTCACACCAGGCAGGTGGCAGAGCTGGGATGCAAACCCAGTTCTGTGTAATGCCTAAGTCCTTGGTCTTTCTTGTCTCCAGTCTGTTTTCCAATCCCATGGTTTTTTCAGGTTGTGCCAGAGACCAGGATAAACTGGATGAGCCTCTTATGCCTTTATTATTCAAAGTGAGCTGTGTAGAGCTGAGGGAGATGATTTAATTTTCATTTCCTAGATACGGTGGGAGGAACATTGACATGAGCCTTTTATTGAATTTTCTTATAAGTTTCAGCCTCTTCCTAGATACTGTATTTTAACCCTGTAGCCTCTTCTACCCCTTTCTCTTTGTGGGCCTTTGGACTGTAGTTCAATCTGATTGGTCTATTTCCTACTGTTTGCTAAATTATATGCACTTGGTTCATCCCCAAGGTCTTGAAAATAGGAGGTGGGATGACTCTTGTCAATTTTATAGATAGAAAAGAAGAATAGTGGAACATCGAGCTCTGTTCTTAATGCTTCGTGTGTCTTCACTCAGTCCTCACAGCAACCCTGTGACATAGGTACTAGTACAGCTGATTGAGTTGACCCAGGAAGCAGCTGGGGCGTGGAGGGTCACCAGTCCGTAAGTGGTGGAGGTGACTAGAAGTGGAATTCCAGCCCAGGTAGCCCAGCTCCACAACCCCTCTCTTCCTCTTGTGCTGCAGCACCTGGGCCTCAGCATCAGAGATCTGGATTCTGTTGCTCCGTTTCCTCATCTGTGAAGTGAGGAGGATGAAAGTGCCTACTTCATAGGGCTGCTGTGTTCACCTTTCAACGATGTTAGGTGAATACAGGTCTTACAGCGGTGCCTGACACATGATAACTGCTCAGCACATTTCAGCTGCTGCTGCTTGAGCTACCATTAGGATCTGGGTATCCTGGGGACTGCCTGGACTTTGAAGCCAAACAGACCTGGGTTCTACTTCTGGCTCTGCACTCACACAGGGCTTTGTGACTGCGGGAAAGTCATTTAACATCTGAGTCACATTTCTTCATCTGTAAAGTGGGGGTAGACAATTCTTACCTCACAGGTTTCTGTGACTCTTAAGTAACACATGTGTCAGACACAAGCACTCTGTAATAAAAGTTTGGCTATCATTATTTCTCCAAGGTGCCCTGGGAAATTAGAGTGATGTTAAGATAAGACTTACTATACTTTGGCTCCTGGAAAATAGAACCACCGGAAGTACTTGAATTAGTCAGAGCCCCCAGGTTTGGGAAGGGCCTGCTGAGCTGCTAATGTGCCTCCATGCTTTCCTTCCTCAGAGCACCCGGGATGGGCACCCCAGCCTCTGTGGTGAGTGAGCCACCCCCTTGGCAGGCCCCGACAGAGGCCCGGGGCCGCAAGCAGGCCTCGGCCAACATCTTCCAGGACGCCGAGCTGCTGCAGATCCAGGGCCTGTTTCAGCGCAGTGGGGACCAGCTGGCTGAGGAACGGGCGCAGATCATCTGGGAGTGTGCAGGGGACCACCGCGTGGCAGAGGCCTTGAGGAGGCTGCGCAGGAAGAGGCCGCCAAGGCAGAAACCCCTGGGCCACTCGCTGCACCACTGCAGCCGGCTCAGGTAGGTACCGGAGGGCTGGAGGGCTGAGGGAGGGAAAGCACTAATGATGCCCATTCCACCCTTTCCTGGCCGTGGGATCTGGAGCTACTGACCTGCCCTCATTGTAAAGTGCCTACCATTGGGGTTGTCCTAAGGTCTACACAGTGCCAACCAAAAGTCGCTGTTACTATTGGACTCATATATGACCCTGTGAACTCCCAGGGAAAGGGGTGCCTGGGTCCTATCAGTGCCACCTCATGTCACAGTAATTCTCAACTAGGGGGGAGGGCTATTGTTTAGAAGGAAAAAAAAATCCTGTGTACCTATTATTGAACGTGTAACATTCAAAAGCCAGCCTGATGAAGCTCTTGGCTGTGGGATTATAGAGAATATAGCATAGCAAAGTACTGTAGAGGTACAGAAAGTTACAAATTGTTGGGAAACTTTACCTTAAACTTTCTCTAGTCATCTTCCTCTTTGCTTAGGTCACTGCCAGCCCAGGAACAGGGAGCCCCCAAAGATAGAGCTGAACCACACGGCCTAACCAACCAGTACGTGTATACTCTGGGCTCCATTCCTCTGCTGCCTTCTCCGGGGCCCACAATCAGAACATCAGACCTGAACAGGCCTTCCGACATCATCAGGTCCATATTAACTCCAATTGATTAGTAATCCCTACTTAACACCTTGCTAAGGATACTTGGTTCCTCCAGTCTCATAATTAATCATGACTGATTAGTGATGTCTGCCATGAGTATAGGATGAAGAAATGTTGAGTGTTGCACACCCTGATCTAGTCCAACTCTCTTTACAAAAGAGAAATCTGAAAGCTTTGCCATGGGGCCAGCCGAGTGGCTCAGTTGGTTAAGAGCTCGCTCAAGAGTTTGAGCTCTGAGCAACAGCGGTTCGAGTCCAGCCCGAGCTGAGCAGCCAAAAAAAAAAAAAAAAAAAAAAAAAAAGTAATTGAAAGCTTTGCCTTGTCACGTAGCTCTCCGTGGGCAGAGACCACAGCCCTTGTCTCGTTCCGTCCCAATAGTATGTTTTAGTAGTTCACATGACCAAAACCTCAGTCCCCACTCTGACCTTCCTATTGATGTTGGCCTATTACACACTTGTTCCCTGCAGAGCGCCAGAGCCCCGCACTCCACTCGTCGACCCACAGAGCAGTGCCACTGAGATGGCTTCTGGCGATCAGTATCTGAACTCTAGGAGGACAAGTGCCAGGATCCGCCGGAACTGGCGGAAGTCAGGCCCCACAAGCTACCTCCATCAGATCAGACACTGATCCAGGGAATGGGCTGGGAATAGCAGAATCTTCCCCAGGAATCACAGGGACTTTTGCCAAAGAGGCGAAGAAGGAAGAGTGACTTGAGGCAGACAGCCCCACACGCTGCTACTGGCCTGCTCAATTCAGAAAAGGACCGGAGGTGTCCACTGAGCTCTAGTTATGTGGGACCCATTCCTCACAAGGAGAAACAGCGACCGTCTCGCCTCGACCCTTCCCCACCTAACACTATACCTGGGCTGCATGATATTCCCCTGGGAGTCAAGTGAGCATCACACCACTCCTGCTACTAACCCTCCTGCTACTACGACCCACGGCCCCGCAGCCTGTCCCACACCCCTGCCCCTGTCAAGCCACACAAGGAAATTGTGGCTTAAGTGGCAAAATAAAAAAAAAAATTTGCATCAAGAACTGTGTGAGTCCATCACAGAAGGGGAGAATCCCAAAATGGATGCTCTGGAGCCAGGCGGGTAAGAGTTTGGGCTCATTTCAGGGAAGAGGTGTGTGTTCCCAGGAAGGAGAAAATAGGGCTGGCCTCCTTTGCTTATTCACTGCCACCCCCTAGGGCCCAGGCCAAAGCCTTTTCCAGAGGCTGTCAGATGGGGAGATGGGAGCATCTCTGTGGGCAGTCCTGAGCCACAGGAACGGAGAGGGTTCTTGGCCCCTGGCCATCTCTACAAGAGGGAAGGCTATTATGGTCAGCCCTACAGAGTGGGCAGTGAGCCTGCAGTCACAGTCGTGGGTGCCAGCTCCTCAGCTGGCTTCTTCGTTCCCATGGGCCAACCATCCATAAGTGGGTCAACAGCTGGACCAATCATTCTTGAGCCTCCTGCATTATCTGGGGTTTCCATAGCCTGAAAACCCCGAGGGGAGGATTTTTTATTACTATTCTGACTTTGCCTCAAAAGAAACATACCATGTGCTCATTCACATTCAGCTCCCCTCCCACCCATCCTAGTTGCTTGATTATCATCCATCACTAAAAGGAACCGGAGTTCAAAGTGCTCCAAGCGGGTGGTGATGCACACAGAGCAGAGCTGCCCTCTCACAGCCAAGAGAAGCCGGTCCATATTCCTTATCCCAAACCCTGGGGGCTAGATGATTGGAATTCAGAATTGTTTTGGCTTTCAGGAAGTAGTCAGCGCAGATCCTGTATAATCCCTAGTGGGGGAACATCTCATAACAAAACATTAATATTTCTGCAACAAATATTCACACTAAGAGGGATATATATGATGGTTACGAATAGCTTCATATCAGTGGGGGCTCGGGTCAGTTTTGATGTCAAATGTTTTCATAAAAATATTCGTGGTTTTCAGAGAATTAGAACTTTGGAAATGAGGACCTATATTTCCCCTACTAGAGGAAAACAGACTCAGGAGCCCTAACTCAGCAACTCCATGGAAATGCAGTGTTCTTTGTCCTTAAAATTGCATGCTACCTTGTCTACCGTCCACCAAAGAAAACTAGACATGGGTGGCCGGTTGGCTCAGGTGGTTAGAGCGCGGGCTCATAACACCAAGGTTGCCGGTTCCATTCCCACATGGGCCAAAGAGCTGCACCCTCCACAACTAGACTGAAAACGACGACCTGACTTGAAGCTGATGGGTCCTGGAAAAAAAAAAAACAATGTTCCCCAATAAAGTTAAAAAAAAAAAAGACAAAAAAAAGATCAGAATTGGACTTGTTATTCATACATTTGCATTGATTTAAATACATTACATACAATTTCTACAGTGCATTAGAACAATACAGAGGCAGCCGGACTCACAGCCCAGCCTCTACTCCCTGACACTGGGGGACAGCGCCTACAGCTGGCAGAAGGCCAGGCGGTTCCATTGAGTGCCACCCAGAAGCCTGCCCTGACACTCTGGGCCCCTGGCTCTCCCAAAGTCCACATTCAAGGCAACCTGAGTATAGGCTTCAAGGAGAATGGAGATAGGCCAGGAAAGGATGCCCCCCCGCCTTTCACCTATCAGGACTGGGACCAGCCCCTTCGTACATTAGACCCAATTTCCTTCTCCTCACAGAGCCAGTCTGGATGAGGGCAACGTGCAGACCTGTTTGGCTGGGGGAGCAACCAGGCTTCTCTTCAGACTCCTCAGGAGCTTTACCACACGTTTGTGTAAAGATGTCTATGGAGAGCTAAACACACCTGGGTCCCCTTCCGGCCTCTGGCAGCCCGGCTGCTCCTGCAGTCTGAGGACAAGCATTCTTGCAAACATGGTCCTCAAGGCTAGTGCCAGGTGGACTGACTGGGATTGTCAGGGCTGGGGATGGTTGGGGAGCTGTGCCGTCATCTACAGGGCATGCACATCAGCTCCCAGAGACGACTCCTGTCAGCTGGACAGAAGCCCAGGACAAGCTGGCTCCCGGGGGCTGGAATGGACGGGGACCAGCGTGGCCCTGGCCCAGCTGATGAGAGGGCTGCACATCTCTGCTCTGCCTCCTGGATGGCGGGAGCTGGGCAAGCAGAGAGCACACAGCCATAGTCCTCGCTCCCTTTCTTTGGTTGTTTTTTCAAACCTTCATGATCATCTTTCCAAGGCTGATTGACCAATCGCAGGATGCCAGAAACTTAAAGTGTCCAGTAGCACAGGGCTGTGCCGTAGCCACAGATGGCACCCTCTTAACTACCTCCTGGGGCCGTTCTTTGCTTTGGTGTAGAAAGGACTCAGACACCTGGCAAGGGGGACAGCTGAAGGAAGAGAGAATGGAAGCAGGCAGATGCACACTGAGCTGGGCAGGCACTGGGAAAGTTTGAAGGTCTCTCTCCTTTGGGTCCTACCTTTCTCAAGAAGCCATGGAAAAACTGGCCTGGAACAAGAAGTCAGGGAGCAAAGGGCACCTACCAGTTAGGAAGCAGAATAGAAGTCCTGTTACCTCCACCAAGCAGCAGTGATAGCATAAAAAGAAGTCCAAGGATCTAATATCCTGTTCTCTTATGAGCTGAGACCCACTCCAAAACCCAAACTGAACCCCTAAGTCAAAAGAGTTGAGGAAAAATTATCTAAAATAACAGGAGCACATTAGAGGACTGAGAGTTTATCACCTGTGGCCAGGGCAGAGGACTCAGGAAGCAAGGCTGGGGTAACTTTGCCCATAAATCAATTACAGCTCCCAGCATGCACTCTGGCCACACGGATCACTTGTGCATGCTGTGGAGTCCACATCCTGCCTCTTGACTTTGCCTGAGTGGTAGGTAAGCTGCAGACCTGCACTAGAGAGTTTGGGTCCCTAGCAGGGCAGAGAGCAGAGCCGATCTATAGTACCATATACAGAACTTCTGGGAGGTCTAAAGCAAAAGTACCCCCGCCATGCAAATTGCATTTGAAGGCTTTTTAGTCAGCCTATTGCACTGATGGGAGAAGGGGAAGACGACTTGGCAAAATCCCAAAGGAAGGGTGTGGCTTCTGTCTGTTCCAGCACTGCGGGTCACCCAGCTGCCTTGGTCCAGGGGCATGGGGAACTGCGAGGCACCTGAACGTCTGGGTCCACGCAAATGTAGGTCTGGATTTGAGGTTTCTGACAGGAGAGGATCTGGGATTCAGCCTGGGTTTTGCTAATAGTATTTAAATTTGTTTTTGTTATGTGTTTGTTTCTGATGCAGAATATAATGAGGAATTGCTAGAGAGCAGGGTGTCAGAAGGAAAGGGAATTTCCCAGCTGCCCCCAGGAGACGCTGGAAGGAAGATGCTCCTTCCCGGGCATCTGGACTCCTTGCCTGGAGCCCCAGCCCTCCCCAGCACTTAGGAGGGCCCACCAGCACTCACGGTCCCTCTGATTGTGCTTCTCCCAGTGCTTGGGAAAGCCCTGAGGGGGGGAGTGGCGAGCAGAGAGGGAGGGCTCTCAAGGGCACTGCTCTCTCCACTGGCTTCTCTGGCTTTTCCCGCAACCTGTGCCCCAGGCTTCCTCCCAGCCCAAGTCTCAGACAATGCGCCATTGTCTGCCTCTCGGCTACCACCACGAAAAGAAAGGCTTCCGACTCTGAAAGCTCTGCGTGTAGGACTCGCTGGCAGACCGCTGGTGGGAACGGGCTGTCTCGACAATCACGGGTGGCATCTGGACCAGGTGCAGGGGACTCTTGTTATCTTTCAAGGCCTGAGTCAGATTTAGGATCTGCAGTGGGAAAAATGAGATCAGTGAGGGTCAGGCCTACACATCCAGGTCTGCCTCTGAAGGGAGACTGGCAGAGTGTGCCTACAAATCAACAAAAAAATAAACAGCATACTAATGGAAAATTGTACAATTAGGCAATTTACAAAAGTAGGAATATAAGTGGGCAATATATAGAAAATGGAAACCTCTCTAGTCATTTTCAATTACAAATTACAACAAATATCTCCTATTTTTTGCCCTTCTAGTTAATAAAGATACAGAGACGACAGAGTTAAGGAGAGTTCAAAGACATGGCTGTGGGGCTGGACTGTGGGGCAATCTTTCAGAAGGGCCAGGGGACAGTAAAGGTTTAAACGTGAACAGGTCTCTGACTCAGCAATTCCATTTTCAGGACTAAGGAAACAGCTGTTGACATGCACCAAACACTTAGTTTCAACCAATACAATCCAGTATTGTTTATAAAGTGAAAATGACATAAATGCCTAAGAGTATGGGATCAGTGAATAATTTGGGATAAGAAACAATTAAAAAATATATTTTATAGTATGGAAAGCTGATCACAATTGTTATTAGATCTAAAAGGAGATAAAGAACCATTATTATAATGTGACTCCACATTTATTTTCTAAAATACTATCTTCCTATCTACCTATCTCCAGAAAAAAAAAAAGTCTGGAAGTTAGCAATGAGTATATCTGGGTCAAGGAATTATAGGTGATATTTGTTTATTACTATTTATCCTTATTTTCTGATTTTCCTACATAGACGACATATTTTAAAAAGCCAACATTCCAGTTGGGATTCTCCTTCTAATGCTGTCTCTTCATCATCTTTTTATTTAAATAAAATTTTTACTTTGGAATAATAATTGTAGCTTCACAGAAAACTTGCAAAGATAGTACAGAAAGTTCCTATATACCATTTACCCAGTTTCTCCTACTTTTAACATCTTACATAACCATGGTACATTCAGCAAAACTAGGAAACTAACATTGGAACATTACTATTAACCAAACTCCAGACTTAATTCAGATTTCTTTAGCTTTTCCAGAAAGTTCTTTTTCTGTTCCAGGGTCGCATCCAGGATACCACCTTGTATTTAGTTCCTTATCAACTTTTGTCTGTATTTTAGAAATATTTCAGATGTGTCCATGGGGACACTTTTTCTCCCCCTTGTCATTAGAATCACCACCATTTATCTTCTCTGGTAGGACAGTGCAAAAGCTGAAGCTGTCCTATGACAGCCTTCTTTAAATTAGATGTTGACGATTTGCATGGCCTGGCCCCTCAAATCACACAGATACACAGCCCTCAGGCCAAATACCTTTGGCCCACAAATGTTGCCCATAAAGAGGCAGAGATTCACCTGGAACAGAGGTCAGAAATCAGAAGTGGATCCTACCAGTGATTAATTCCTTTTTCACTTATTTGTTTTGGCACTTGCCTGCATCCTACACAGCTTCCGAGAGCGTGGTGCACAGATCAAGGTAGAGAACTAAAAGGAGGCTCAACGGATTGTGCAGGAGGCCACCCAACTTAAGAGACAGGATTTTAAACCTGCCCTGGCTGGGTCTTCCTGCGCTTCCTTTGGTTCTTTGGGTTAGAAGCTGCTTTTCATGCATGCTGAAGTATTGGGGGTAAAAGGTCAATTGTCTACTACTTACTTTCAAAAGATTTGGCAAAAAAAAGGAAAAGAAAAATCTATCTAGAGAGAGAGACAAATTATATAGATAGTTAGAGATAGGTATCATTCAGATAGATAACACATAGAGATATGAGATAAGGCAAATGTGGCTAACTAAATATAACAACTGGTAAATCTAGGAGAAGATCCTATTATTTCAACTTTAGTGAGGTTTTAAATTTTTCAAATTGAAAAGTTGAAGAAAAATTTATAGCAGGCACATAATGCTAAAGAATAAAGAATAGTGCACATGTTATTTGAAGAGGCTTTCCCTCAGACCCTGCCTTCTTTATAAACTCCTGATCAGAAGCCTTTCTGGTAAGCAACAAGTACCACTCACATCCATCTCTCTGGGGGTTCTTCACTCTTCCCCGTGGACTCAGGGCCCTTGTACAGCCCACTCTGTGATTACAACTCAGGTAGGTAGAAGGCTGTAACCTCCTTTCTCTGCGGTACATCAGATTTCTGTAAGGCTGAGGCTCATTCTGCTTCGGTGTATGA